GGGCTTGAAGCTTGGCTCTGTTCAACTTTCTTCGTGGTTCAGTCCTTTGCTGTGGAGATAAACAGGAAGTGTTTGTTATTAATCTGTCATCTCTGGAGGGCTCATAAAATAGTTTTAGCGTTCTGTTGAACCCAGTAAGGCCATCATTCTAAGCATTACATCTTCCAAGGAAGAGAAAGAAAGGTATTAATTGTCATTTATTTTCAGCAGCGTTGCTCAGAGTAAACTGTGGTTAAGCTGGTTGGACCCATTATGATCAAGCCAGACCAAAGGGTTTGAGAATAAAATTGGTGGGCTATTTTTAGGCAATCCACTTCCTCTGGTTTGTGATACAAATCTTTTGAGAAAGAAAAGAACAGTGTTTTTGTCCAAGTGGCTTCAACGGCTTGTCAGTAGTTGCCCTTGCTGTAACAGCGTCATGCAAATGCATAATTACAGCTTTGTTTTCTTGTATTTGCTTATTTATGCGCGTTATGATATTTGCCAATCTTCAATGCTTCTTTGTTTGAAGCTCCAACCTACAGTTTTTTTGAGTGGTGAAAAGCAAATGTGAAGATTACTGGAGCCCTAAGTCTAGTGTAACGTGACCTTTTCTGTCCAGACAGAACAGCCACTGGGTTCAAAGAGATCCCCACCCTTAACTAGAGGTCACGGGTCAAGAACAAGGGTGTAAGGTCATGGACGCAGACACGCACCTGTTCACAGGGGGCCTCTTTGCAGAACAGATGACTCCCAGATGTTTCTAAAGAGTGTGTGGTTTGACGGTCCCATAGATTCAGAATACCCCCTGCGAATGCACTGTTTAGAATTGGACTAAACATTTCATTCCCAGAACTGCTTCACCATACATGGCCTTATAGTGCTTTTGAAGGAAGTCAAAGACTTGATTTACTTTGTTTTTAATGGATTTTAAAAATGGACTTTCTTACACCTGGAAAAGCTCAGAGGAGGACTTAGTCTTGGGTTCAGTCCGTGGTCAGCAAAGAAGGGACTCATTCTGAACAGTCTCTACTGAAAAGATCAGTACTTTTGAGTGTTTCCTTTTGATTGCGGGCTGAGAAATGGTGATAAATTGCAAGGTCAGTCAAACAGCTGAAGTGGTACTCTGTGGAGAGAAGTCCCCATATTGCCAATATATAGTAATAGCAACTGGGAAACATAAACCTTGCTTTTTGATTGGAAGCATCTGGGGAAAAGAGCAATGTTTTTTTTTCTTTGTTTTTACAACAGTCTCTTTTCCAATCACTATTCTCTGTCAGCCTTTATTATTTTTACAGTTCACACACCTGTTTTCCTTGCAGTCTCAAAAAGGAGCTAAAATAAGTGATGTATTAGAATGATTTTAATGTAGGCCTTTTCCACTCCGAGATGAACATTATTCGGACATAATTCAAAGTTAAATAGTGTTTTCTTTCATGCCCAGTCTTCAAGGCATTACCTCATACAGTCAGCAAAAAGCTGTACCATTGTCCAAACATGACAGCATTTAGTTGGCACATATCCAGGCAGACAGCAGAGGTACTGTGGGAGCAGAATAGTTTGGTGACTTCTGACCCTGCCCAGTCTGACTCAGGGACAAGAGAGCCATTCAGATGCCCAAAACTTGCCAAAACCTCCCCAAAAGCACCCAGCCCTCAGTACAAATGACAATCCAATAGTAATCCTTTTGAAATGCTTAATTACTCAATTAAGAGGGGTAAAAGCAGGAGGATTATCACATGTGTAGAAGAGGCTAAATGGTTAAGGTAGAAGTGCATCCAACAGTGAGAATTTATACAGGAAGTGCAGTGTTTCCCACATAATTTGATTCTATTTGTGGGGGCACTGCCACAAATAAATCAATGTATGGGAAACACTGAAGTGTGTAAATAATAAAGACAGGGAAAGAATGTCACCATATGAATATAGTGACTTCGATGTATGGTTTATGGCTTTACAGTCATTACAGTACTTTTCGGCGGAGGCTTTTGAAAGATGGATAGTATCATGTTCCCCACTATGATGATTTATAGGGAACATACAATTAGACCATGTATACAAATGGGCTCTCATGTTTACGCTGTCAAGAGTTCAGGCATTGTGCAGCAGTGGTATTTTCCTCAGTGGCAATGTATCTCTGTGCGGGCGTGAAAGCTATGGCTGTGTTGTGCTGTCTCAAGGAATTCTTCGCTTAAACAAAACAAACTTTAAATGAAAGCTCCCTGGTCTGAAGAAACCCTAAATAATACATTAAGGAACAACACGTCGTAAGACAGGACTGTTTGCCATGTTGGCTCTGGCAGCTGCCGGTATGGAGGAGGATTCTTGCAACTGCTCTTCAGTGACAACCGTGGAAAGGTTTCTTTGAATGCCAGAATCTGCAGTTTGATATACTTCTCTCTTTTAGCTGCTTCACTTTTCACCCGTTTGACTGCACATCAGAGGTCTGACGGAGAATGGGTGGTTTATGAGCCTAGACAAGACCACCTTGGGTGACCTGCTTCTTTTCGTCCAAAATGTCATTCACCTTTTGTTCAACTCTACGCCAAGTGCCAAGTTTTGTTTTTACTGCTACCCCTGACCAAATGTAGCTCTTGTTAGCCACATTTTCCTTGCACTGTGGCAGGCATTTCTTTTTGGTTGTGAAAGATTGTTGCCCGGAATGTTCAGTGGAGTCTTCTGTCTGCTTCCTCAGTGGGTACTGGAAGGTTTAGACAGTAGCTCAGCAAGCGTCCACCAGCTGACAGACCAGTGACTGGCAGGTTGTCTGGAGCTTCACGTCCTTTTCCACCAACACAGATATGCGAAGAGGAAAGCCCCCTACCTGAGGTGCCAGTCTTGCTAAACATACTCCGGTAGCTAGTTTATCCATCATGACATTTGCACTTCCTGTGTGGTTTACTCTGGCATGCATTTAACAAAATTACCCAGGGGGCAGTGCATGTTCACTGAAACCGAGTTTGTAGATTCTGCGGTCAGCTTCCAGTCATACAGAGTGACAATTTTAAGTTGCAGAGTATGTAACCTCTTATTGTTTATCTTTCTTCAGAAATGCATGTTGACCAGACAATCATACCCTCAAAAATTAAGAAAGTCGAAAAGATGGACATACGGCCAGTTAGACCCTAAATTCTTCTTTTAGGGGGGTGTGATGTTTATCCCAAACATGCCAAGCCCACCCCATTTACGTCAATTAGTAGATGTAATTCACCAGGCTGTGATGGATGACACAGTAGTAGCTGAAATGCACTCAGCTACCCTGCAGAATAAACTTAGCGTATTCCTCTGGGTCGCGGTTCGGAGATATTACCCTAGAGAGAGCAGAAGTGATCCAAACCTGACTTTGATGATCCACAGAAAGACAGAAAGTGGCAGTAGGGAAAGTGGAGATCATGGAGAAAAGCTGGACATGTCTAAGAGCTGGGTTAATGGATGCATCCCCAGGGTTTGCTTAGGAATGCACCAAGGCATTTCCGCCAGCAGCTTGATGTCATCCATCTTCCCTCCCTTGAGAAAGATGACAAACGGCATGAGGACTCCCTCTTTTCCCACTTTTGGCTTATAAATGGCTCCAGTTTGTGTGTGAGAGTGAAAAAGCCACAGTTTTGCCAATACTTGAAGATGGTTAGTGTTTGCGTTTCTGTCCTGTTTTATAGGCACCATTTTATTTTTTTAAGTATGCACACATATTTTGAGAGTTGTAGCAGATACCAACTGCTAAATGATAATGTATTCGGTTGGCATGTATTGATTGCATAAACACAGTTCCAGTTTCATAGGGGCTACTCAGTCTTTCCGTAGGTCAACTATCAAACACAAAGACAGAAAAGCTCTGCAGGTCTGTCTTTCAATACCCAAGATTTTTTTAATATTGCCCTTGAAAAATCCTTTCCCCCAATCTGGTCAGCCGCTCTTTATCTATTTGCACATTATTTGCTGAAATCAAACAATAGTATGGATCGCAAATCATCACCAGACCAGCAGTCACCTCGCCAAACCTGTGAACATGCAGTCTGGATAAAGATCAAATCACTCTAATGTGTCCGGATTTCTATAGGATGGACAGTAAAGGTAATGTTAGAGGATTTGATTGATTTGTGTCTAAAGGCTGTCAATATTGGTCTTGCTGAAATGCATTTTTACACATAATACACATTGATTGAGAATAATCAATAGTGAAAACATTCATTACAAGTTCATTTATTTCATTATGAGTAAATGTTTCTTTAAATGCTTTTCAATTTCTTTGGACCATCTAGGGTCAGGGGTGATGTTTGTGTCTTGCCCAGTGGCATGGGAGTCTTGGGGGGTCTTGAGATTTTGACGCCAATGTTTGCACTTGCTGACCCCTCATATTATCACAGTTACATACTTGAACCGTCTGTGGTGTGGCCCTCTAGCTGACCCCCCCCCCCCCCCAACCTTCATACATTACAATTGGATGAGATAATGGTGTGAACTTCACAAACTTCAGCAGAGCTTTGCACAATCAGGCATCCTGTATTAACTTCTTCCAAATGAACACTGATTGAATCTCAGGGAAAGCCTTCTTCCTGTGCGGTCACCGGGGTATTGGAGAATCCCATATTTGGCATGTCTTTTGTGTGTGTGTTCTCGCATGGGCGTGTGTTCTTTTATGTGTGCTGGCCAAGAGAAGACACGACAGGAAAAGGGTTTCCTATGGGCGTTGTGTGTGATATCCCCTCCATCCAAAGCCTTTTTTTTGTCTGCATTGGGTGGAGTTAGAATTGCGGGGAGGTTTGGGAAGCGCAGGCTGGCAAGGGTCATTTCCTTTCATTTGAACTTCTCCCTTAGCCTCGCAAAGCAGACACCAACACACATGCATACTGTACATAAATGCATTTATATTCACAGAAAATCCATCACCTTCTCGCTGACAACCACATGGATGCTGTCATGCACTGGAGCTGGAATCCAGAAGGGGAGGGGAAATGGAGCGAGTGATCCAAAGACAGAGCGCAAAAGAGGGAGTGCAAGCAAGAGAGGGAGGGGGAGAGAGAGTGGGGACAATGTCAACAGCTCGGCTCCCAGCACAGTCAGCTGAAATCCACAGCTCAGAAGCTCAGAGGAGAAGCAGACAAAACGCAGCAGCTTCGGTCGGGAAACATCGTCAGACTCGGCAAAGGCATGGAATTCGGCCACAAAACACAAACTCCAAAGGGCAAAAAAAGGGATTTAAATCCAGAGGCTGGAGGAATGCTTTAAAGATTTCTTGTAGCCTTGCTTCGTTGAAAGGCTCTTTATATTTAAAGTGACACAGGAACAATCCATTTCTCAGGGCAGCCTGTCTGACTTTGGTAAGTAGGAGATACTTGATCTTGATACTGATACCTTAGACCCTTGCCGGACACACATCGTAGTGCTTTTCATTCAGTAGGAGATTGCACACTTGACAGATGTTTGAGTGTAAACCCAGTTTGTCTATGCACTCCATCCTGCTGCTCAATTCAACCGAGAAAACACAGACTACTGCCATCAATAAAATAAACATTAGTCAGTAGATTCAGTACAAAGTCAAGCAAAGAAAGAAGCCGGCGGGCAATACGGGCTTCTTATCCCACTAAGTTGTTAACATTTCCTCATTTTTGTGTTGTTGTGATTGAAGGGTAGGGCCATGTTTTACTATACTTCACTACGGTAGCTTTTATAGGTCATAAACAGCAGCAAAAAGCTGGCTTGTGAAATGTGCATGGTCTTCATGTTTTGGCTCTTTCTTCAGTGGTATTGACAGCACTCCTTGCTTAACTCCCATGTGTGCTGCTGTATTATATGAGCAAGCCTTGTGAAGCATTGATGGTAGTCTTGGATTCAGTTTTAGCTGAGATGGTTTAGAGTTTTTTTCTTTGGAAGAAGTGACATGATGTTTCAGGGATGGATGGCGGTTCAGCATTTACAATAGCTGGAGGAGTTAGTCTAAAGCAATTGACATCCATGTTTGGTTTTAACCATAACGTTTGGCTGGCACTTAGATCATGGAAATGTTTGGCATTTTAGGAATTGAGGCAGGATGGGACAGTGTCATGTAATGGACGGGCCTATTTTGGGTCCTAGACGTGGGTTGATCACTCATGTTCATCAATCACACAGTCAGCCCTTTGGTGTAAGTTGTGTCCTGGCAGCCAGACATTCCATATATGCTGTACATCTCCCCTCCCAGCAACAACTCAACCTAACATGAAACTTGAGGAACAGACTTCCACTTACCTCTAAAAAAAGCCATCCAACATCCCAAGCATTTATAGACTATTCTTCAACATTTCCCTCAAGGGAAGCCACTACTCCATAACAGCTCAGACCAACATAAATACACTGTCTTAATCTCCCAGGGTTCTTGATTTAAAAAAAGTATGGAGCCTCCTTTTCCGTGTGGTATCATTGCCTATCCCAGTTGAGAGGCTGTCATCTCAGTGGTGAAAGTGCATTTACTGGCCTTCCCAATTCCACCTGTGAAATGGATTATTGATGCCTACTTGAGGCTTGCCTAATAGGTAACATTCCTAACAGAAAACTCAGCACTTGTGAACATTTTACTTGAGGCTGAGCTTTTAAAATGCTGATGCTGGACAGAATAGCAAAATGAAAAAGAACATAAGAAAAACATTATTCCTCCAACATTCAACACCATTCATTCCTTTCAATGACTTGCGTTTGAAGGTTGATGAACAGGAGGCAAAACTAATTTATACAGTCATAAGGCCATATTTGTTTTCTTTGATGTCGTTTTGCATTGTGAACAAGATGGTATCCAATTCCACCACATTAAAGGCTTATACTCCAGTCTTCTTGAAATCCTCCTACACTAGCGTGTGCCAGGGGGCAAGCTGAGTGACATCACTAAAAGATTCAGTGTGTTGGGAGGGCATTAATGAAAGTTGAGGACTCACAAGTGGTACACACACACACACACACACACACACACACACACACACACACACACACACACACACAGCCTCTGCTGCCGTCAGCGCTCTCAGGGCTTTTCATATTTTATCGACCATTACGGATGCATGAACTGCTCTCTCAGGATTAAAGGCAGTGAGAGTTAGTGAACGACTGTCGGCCTTTTATCACTTCGGCCGTGCGGCTGACTGGCAGCTCAACGGCCTCCTCATTACGATGGGGACAGAGAGAGAAAAAAAGATGAGGTCTGTAAAGCTGCTTAAATTCAACTATCTGATCTTTTGGATGGGATTATCGTCATGTTGTATTTATAATAGTGGTTACTGTGTCTGAGGGAAACAACTCATCGAGCCTTTAGCAGTAAGACTGTTGTTGCTCTCTCTCCTTTACTGGAAGTCCCCCACACTGAGTGTGTGTCAAATGGCACCATTGTATTTGTGCCAGTGACACACTTTCTTGGGCTTATGATGTGTAAGCATATCTACCCCTTTACACTGCCTCAATTCAGTGCAGTATTACTGCGGGGTATTTGAAAAAATGCTGGTCACTTCAGAGGGCTGTCCCTATATGTGTCACTATAACTGTCCCAGAAGAGCATTCCAGACATTACCCAGAAGCCCTATGTCCTCGATGTTGCAGCTGTTGACCTCTCACCCAGGCAAGATTAATAGCTTAACAATGAACAATATAGAGTGCCCCAATCCACTCACTGCTATTGATGGACACATTAAAACCTGGCTGCACAGCATGAAAAGCCAAACGGTGGCAAGCTGACAAACTATTGAGAACTGTTGACCTGTCATCGTCGGCATAGAAAACAATTTTTTTGTCCGTTTTTTGTTGAGTTTGTTTAATAGTTAACCCATTTCAACACCCAGAAAACCTTGACCTTCTCTGTTTATATGGATAAAGGTACTGTAATTATAAAAAAGGGCTTCTACTCTCAAAATGACTAGACTCCCGGGTGTTTGTACAACATCTCTGGGAAGTTAAGCACCCTTTCCCTATTGAGAGTGGTAACCAGCCCTCAGTCTGTACTCAAGACATTTTTCTACACATATATAACATGTCTTTAGTTAGACTGGAAGCTTGTGACTGTGGCGTTCTTCCCATATGAAATAAGAAAGTTATTTGACACTGCAGTGTAGCGGTTTGCATTTGAGGGAAAAGGATGCCTAGTATTGTATTTCATTCTGAGCGCTGTTAATATGTGGGAATGTTGGAGAGTTTGGAATGTGGCATGGCCGACTTTCTTCCCATTGCCAGTATTAATAGCATAGTTATTCGGTGAGCCGGTCTATTTGATGAGCAAGGATGTGACTTGCAGAGATGTGCCCATCGGCCAAAAGAGAAGTGGGTCAGCAGTGCTTCGGATGTTAGTCTCGCCCACTTGATACAACCCCCCTCATGAGCCAATATTAACATCTGCATTATTAGAGTCCCACACTGCTGTGGGTAGCCTTTGCTTAAGCGGATGACCTTTTGAATATAGTTACAACTACACAACGTGATGTCTCGAGAGATGTGTCACACAAATATCTTTTTGTCCCACCAGGCCTTCCAAACGTTAACTTCATCAAAGTCGTACGGGTCTCCACAGGTTCTCATTTCAACTTGTGTTCATGCAACTCTTGGCTGTTGTTCGCGGCTTCTATGAAGGGGTTTTAACATGTTTATAATAATTAGCTTCAAACGACAACTATGCATGGTTGGGTACTCTGGGCCTCTCCACTTCTGCTTGGAGCTTTTATATTTGTTTTGATAATGGTAAAATAACATAATCTAATGGCACAGTTGTAACAACCCCTAACTTTGTTTGGTCTACGCTATTATCAATGTTCATCGCATAAGGAAATGTCTGCTTTTTAATTAATCAAGCTAAATGAAATGGCTATTATTGAAATCCTTGGAGAATTGGAAACATCTTCCCCCTCCTATTTTTCCATTGGTTTAGTTGAGGCATTTCCTCTTTATGGGTGAGGTGGGTTACTGTGCCTCATGGCCCGTTAAAGCCAACAGTGCTTATGTGTTTGTTTCGAATGAGGCTAGCAGCCAATAACACCCCTGAGAATTCTTGAATGTTGGCTGTGAAAGGGTTTATGATGTGAAATTGAAAGATTGCCATGAGTAGGAGATCTGGCACCTCACTGTTTAAACAAAATTGATTGGGGATAAATGAAAAGGTAGAAACATCACAGACAGTTTTAAAAGCTTGTATAGAATAACAGTTTTTTAGCAATTGGGTTCCCAGCGATGTAATGTCAATTGAAAGTAGACATATGAAACGCATCAATAACCATTGCCATTTTTCCTGAAGGGGATGATCTGTGCTTCAGTAACCACTTTGGAAACCTAAGGCGGTAACATATAATTACACTGTCCTTCCATTGGCTGTCTGACAAGATCTGTTTGTAAACAAAGAAAATGAAAAATGTCTCTCTCTACAAATGAAATTGCCTATGCCTTGGAGGCGGTCTGGTTATACTGTATTCAAGCAACATTATTAAACATGAGATATTAAAGTAATTAATAATAATTGTGGTTGTAGCCAATTTAAATGGAGGAATGTTGACTTATTAATTATTTCCTTATGTTACGCACAGTGCTGGCTCTATACTGTACCAAAACCCGATGTAACTGGCTCAACTGCACCCCCTTAACATTGTTCTGTTGCCATTGTCAAAGCCAGTGGCGAGCCGTGACCTTTATACCTAGGCCCTCTGACCCCCCCCCCCTTCCCTCAAAAAAGAAAAGAAAAAGAAGAGTTATTACGTCACAGCGTACTTCAACGGAATATCAAAACAGCGGCCCGGGGTGCAAAACGTGACAGCGACCCTCTACCACACAAAACAACACAATTTTATATAAACACCTATCATGACAGGGCACCCACAGCCAAGTAACAATTACAAATGAATTAAGTCAGCACGGCGGCCCACATTGAAGATTACTTTTACATTACATTACATTGCATATAGCTGACGCTTTTATCCAAAGCGACTTACAATAAGTGCGTTCGACCAACACGATACAAACTTTAGATAAGCCAGTCCTTTATTAGTATATAAGTGCTTTGTTAGTAATTCTTTGTTAGATTTGTGATTCGAAAATGATAAAAGTAGGGTAGACATGTGGTGGATATTATCCGGCTGAACAAAACGTGCATTTATCTAACAGGTTCGTTTTCCACAGATATTATTTCGAGCTATTTTCCAAAATCCTATGGAGAAATCCCATTGCTTTTTTGTCGAGGGGAACCCGAGCGCAGCTTACTTCCGGGTTTTAGGATGCGTCACTGCACCACTCTATATGCATAAACTTCACAGCGGGCGGAACGTGTCATAAAGTCCGCGAAAATAAAGCCCACCCATTTAGAGGGAAGATATGATTGGTCAAT